CTGAAAAACAATCCTCACCTGACATTTCTTCTACTTTTCTTTTTCTCTGAGTCTTTGTTCTGTATTCACCAACACTGCCAGTAGAGTTGTTGTTCTCCATCAAAGTACTTTTTATTTCTACATGTGAAAAATTAGAGAACATTTTAGAGAACTTAATACTCTATTAAACAAATACAATTTGTCATGCAAAACCTACAGAACCTCGTGTTGAGCACCTTAAATGACAATTAGGTACAATTCTGCCACTTTAAAAAGTAACCATACTTACCATGAGTTATTTGGCCTGAATCTTCAGTTTTTATTTTCTTCGTCCCTCTTTCTTCCCTAAAAATAGTTCTGCATTAATATATATTTTTACATTTTGTAAAACACAGGTCTTTTACTGCTACAAGTGAAATATAAGTATCTCGATTAAGATAAACATTTAAATGTGTATTAATGTGTAAGCACAATTCCACAACCTCAGCATATCTTTCAAGTAAATATATCAGATCAGGTGTATAAAGGATGTTTTATCTGTCATCCATAAAATTGATTATAAGTCAGCGACATATTGACCATCTGTTGGTAATGTATTGGTGGACTGGTATATGTGTATTGTTAACTGTGAAATGGCAAGCATCCCCTTAGCACTACCCTCGCCCATAGTGGACATGAAAGATTTAAGAGTCGCTATTGCCTATGCCCATAAGATGAAAGGGCGGGGATACAGCTCAAGCAGCTGTCATTTGGAATATATGTCTAATACAACTCGAGGTCTGAACAAGCACTGAGTACGTGCTAGGTAATATTTACTATTATCACATAGGATTCCATCATGTTCCTGGAAATGATGAGCAATACTGAGATATTTGGACATTTTCTTTCCTTCTTGCTTTCATTTTTGCATGCTGTGAAAACTCTACATTGCTCCAGCTTTTGAATGAACAAAGGAAAGAACGTATGAAATGTAACCAACAAATAAATGATTGATTAAAAATAAATAATTATAGCTGTTAGTGACAGTTGAAGCAACAACTGCTAAACAGCTACTCCTCCATTAATGTTGACTCCTGTCTGCTATGTGCATTCCTCAAGCCTCTAGCTTTGACTGTCATGAAACACCCTTCTAATTCAGTATAAATGTTCTGATATCCTCAACACACCCCTTGCTTTTGGCTACCTGCAGAGCACCATGATTAATAAAGTTGAATAATTTATAATTACCTTAGTTCACCTACAGTTTTGTAAACATCTTCCTTATGTTTTAGGATGACTTTAAAATCCTCCTTGAATCCAATTTTATTCAATTCTTGTTCCAATTTCTCTTTAACTTTCCCTTGCTCAAAGTCATCAATAAACCTCAGGAAATTATCCTTTGATTTAAATGATAATACCACATGAATGGAGCCAGGTCGAACATTCTGGACTGAAGCATAACTTTGCAATGCCAGATCAATTGCATTTCTAACTGTCTCTGGGTTTTTCGCCAGAAAATATGCTAATCCTATTCCTGCTCCTAAAGAGAACACTCCAAAACCAATTCTTGCTGTCCACGGGTCATTAATGGTCAATCCACTACTTGTTATGCTAAGGGCAGGCCCTTCTGCAGGCCTTCCAGCCTCGGCTTGCACCTCTCGTCCACCTTCTTCTGCCATGGCATTCATTTAGATTGACTGATTACCTTACAGGTTGAAACTCCTTTTATTTACCCTTTAACCCTACAAATTAAGAAATAGTTAAAATTGAAACTTCCATACTTTTGACAAATTTATTATAGTATACCTCTACGCCTGTACAAAAATGTCTGGCCGGATAAGAACCTGAATACGGACAGAAATTTGAACCAGACAGGCCTAAACATCAACCGGACAAGAACTGAACGAGACAGAGCGGTAAAGAGCCTAACTCAGAGCAGGAAACGAACGGTAGTCAACCTCACAACAGCCACACAAAAAAATCTTTCACGACAGGAAACGAGCCTGACACAAGCCAGACATTAGCCTGACACTCACCTGACAATAGCTAGACAAGAGAAATCATTCAGAACGGGAGAACGAGGCCGAAACGAGCCGGGCATTAGTCTGTCAGCTAGCACAAAAGTATTTAGTAATGTAGCAATTGCTAAAGAATCCCGCCTTACGTCAACTCATAAAGCACGCTTTTCCGAGGGGAAGTTGGGCCCAAGGACTGAAAAAAAAAACCCTCGAACATTGCTATTTGAACTATAAGCTGCAATTTAAAAATGGTTCATTTTTAGGCTTCAGTTCCCCTTTAACTACTTATCGCTCTTTGATCCTCCCTTACCTATCCTATGGCGTGGCTGTTTGGGGCCAAGCTGCTAAATTCCGTTTACAAAAAATCCTCGTGCAACGAAAACGCGTTCTTCGGTTGATACATTTTTCTGAACCCAGAGCAGATGCAGTGCCTTTATTTATCTCCTCAAAAATCCTGCCCATTAATATGAACATGGAAGTTTGCTTGACAACCCATTAATGTTGATATCTTATAAAACATGTAGATTATATTAATAATAATTAAGGAGATGTCAGTACAACTTATGAAGTTTAAAGGTATAATAAATAAAGACTAATTTGCGTGAATGAAAATGTTAATTGACCGATTGGATTATCAATCTAATGCTATGTCATTGCTGTTTTTTTGTGATCCTAACTAAGCACTGAACTTATACTACAGGCTACTGTATTTCTCTAAAAGAGATCGTATATCACACTGTTGTTTCCCTCGACGTTTTTCCTGAGAATCGTAAACACTCAAAGCTCTTCCGTCGCTATACACCGATGTACTTTTTATGGTCGTTCGATAAGCCTCAATTAAACCCATCTCCTTGATTTTCCAATCCTGCGAAAAAAACGCAAACTCACTTGTCTGTGTTAAGAAAACCGACCGAAAGATTGTTGCATGACTTTGATTTGTTATTCAAGGGACAGCGAAGTTTCCAGCGGTATCTACAAGTTTATATTTAAAAACACTGCTCGTCTGGCTCGCAGCAGTCTCTTGTCAAGCCCTGAAATCAGTCGCATTGAAATTATATATCGACTCAAGTATTCAGCGTTGTCTGACTCTTGTCCTGCTCTTGCCCTGAAAGTTGCTTTAAATCGATTGACAGGTAAGTCGCGAAAGTACAAAAAAACAAAATGGCGGACAGGTCAGTGAAAGGTTAGGAGAAATAACAATGTTTTAATTCAGAGTTTTAGGGAGAATAAGACTCTTATAAGAGCAGGACCTCCAGACTTTAACCTAGTTCTCTTTGCGTTGTTGGGCGTAATTGTTCTCCAAGAACAAAAACGCCCAACAACGCAAAGAGAACTAGGTAACAGTCTGGAAGTCCTACGCTTCCAAAGAACAGTTCAGAAAGTATGAAACTGAGTCCAAGTTTATGCGAGAGTTGGTAAAAAAGATAGGAAAGACTATGAGTGTGATAGCTCAATTTCGTGTAATGGTTGCTGCCAGCAGTCGACCGATACCCAAAAGATAATCAGTGACGAAGAGTTTAAAAGTTTGAAGCAAGTTCTTAATGGCAAAGCCCGACTACTCCGGCAACAAGGCAATGACAAGCGGCCAGACTAGTAAGCCATGACACGAAATAAAAACAAAGGAAGAGAAAAACAATTATACTTTTGCTTGTATATAATTGACAAGTTGACATGATTTTTCAATTTGTGATAAATCAGAATTTGTAAATTTTTCAAAGACTACAAATTGCACTCATCCTACGGGCTCGAAACTGCAACTGAAAATGCTTGAATTTAACTTTTCAAGCTCTGTTTCGAAGAGCAGTGGTTTGAACGTGATCAGTTTCTTCCACGCTCAATCGTTTATTCTGAAACTTTCTATCTTTACCAATTACGCCTGGTTGGGAGTTCGCTGTTTGCCTTTACTACTCTCAATTAGCAGTCAGCAATGATACAACAACCGAATAAAACCCCATTGAAGAACCTTGGAAGTATGGAACCTGGGTGGGTTGAATCGGGTCTGCTAAATCTGCGAGCCACGGTGCGAGCCATTTTTGGGAGTATTTTTCCTTTTCTTCTGTTGTTTGCTCAGATCCATGTCGAAACTTACAACTTTTTTATTCATTACAAGATCACTATAATTTATACAGTGCGGTGCTCGTGCTTATGTGAATTGCATAGTTGTGCGTGCTGTGCGAGTGCGAAGGTGATAATTACATAGTGTAACACTTCGATTGGTCCAGGGTCTGATAGGTCGTTGATCATTTCGTGCCCGACTATCACTTAACTACCGCCCGCCCGATCTTGAAAGCGAAGATGATCCTGGGGACGAGTATAAACTGTACAATCTCGTTCCCAGGGTAATCTCTCTTTCTCTGGGAAATGAATTTTAAGGTTCCTACCCGGCTTCGCGGCTTCGAACCCCGCTATAGCACAAAAACAAAAGTCGTATCTTAAGGATACTACAGACTTCGTCAATTTCATAGAAAATACGAAAGTCCCGGAGAACATAATACTTGTTTCAATGGACCTTACGAGCTTATATACAAATATACCACAAGAGGAGGGGATAGACACTGTATGCAAAGCATACGAAATACACTACAGAAACGGAACTCCTATCCCTACACAACTACCAAAACAAGCGCTAAGGCTAATTCTCCAGGAATACTCCTTCCATTTTAATGGAAAGCACTACCTTCAAACACATGGTACGGCCATGGGCACGAAAATGGCAGTCGCCTTTTCTAATATTTTCATGAACAAGGTAAAGACAGAAATCCTTGACAAAAGCCTTTTAAAACCGCTTGTTTGAAAACGTTACATAGACGACACCTTCTCGTTATGGAGTACAAACAAAGCAACAATAGAACGTTTCATTGAAAAAGCAAACAATCATCACCCAACCATAAAATTTACGGCTGAAATTTCCGATAAGGAAACAACATTCCTGGACACCTACATCTACAAAGGCAAACGATTCGAAAAGGACGCAATCCTTGATGTGCGTACTCATTTTAAACAAACTGAGACATTTCAGTATACACACTAATGTTCCTGTCACCCACAAGGAGTTAAGAAAGGCTTGATAAAAGGAGAGGCCCTTAATTACACTTCTCAGAACAAACTCCTCTCAAACAATATTCGAGGAGAAAACTGCAAATTTCAAAGCGCATTTGCTAAAGAGAGGTTACCCAGAGGACCTCATTAACACAATCTTCTCAGAGGTGAGTTTCAAAAACAGGAAACTAGCTCTTCAACAGAAACCGAAGACGAACCAACGAATCTTGCCTTTTGTTACACAATACCAACCAACAGTGCCAAATTCTCATGAGACACTGGCATTTAATAGAAACACAACCAGTACTGAGCGAACTCTACGAAAATCCGCAGTTCATATCTTACAAAAGAGGGCGATCGCTCAAAGACATACTCGTTAGGCTTAGCCACAAGTTGCTAGGCAACTTTTCGGCAACTTTTGAGATTTTCGGCAACTTTTTAGAATTTTGGCAACTTTTAGAATTTTCGGCAACTTTGGGCTTTTTGAGGTTCTTTGAAGCCCCTTTCTTCACGTTTTGAGCTACATTGGCAATTTTTCGATAGACATTTATTCAATTTATTCTAAAATCCAATAATTAGGGCCCCCCATGGGTTGATTTTTTGTGACGCCTTATCACGTGGTCAGCGGTATCACGTTGCACGTTTTTCAAGATGGCGGACAATTACAGTGACTATTTGTTGATCAACTGAAATGGAACCTCTCATATTATCATTGGACTTTGACAAATAAAGTTTTGATAAGAAGCAATGTGCGAATATTTAATCTTTAACACCCAAAAAGGTACGAATTGAAAAGCAGAAAAATTTTGGCAACTTTTCGGCAACTTTTTGGAAATTCAGCAACTTTTCGGCAACTTTTTGAAAAAAAATAGCAACTTTTTGCCAACTTTTAGACACTTTTACCGGCAACTTTTTTGGGATTCATCGGCAACTTGTGGCTAGGCCTAATACTCGTAAGGGCCAAACTTTGAATAGGCTATTTTAAACACGCGCTGGGGAATCGTGTACGCCTGTCAACCCCCTTTTTTACTGTAATGACATTTTTAATGTTTTGTTTTGTTTTGTTTTTTCAACCGACTTTTTTTCTATCCGCATTTTTCCACCCGCAATTTTTCATCCGTATTTTTCTATCCGCATCCGCCATCCGCATCTATCCGGTCCATGTTTTACAAACCCGAAAAGACTTTTCACGAGCAGATAACTTCCACGTGTGAATTTTGTCATGTGCGCGATGTAAACAAAATATGCAAATGCATGAAATTGCCGCGAATATTCCCCAAGGGGGTTCGCCCATTAACGAGATCATGACACCTCCCTGATTTATTAACTTTTATTTGAAAATACGTTTTTCTAAATAAGTCGGACGCCTTTTGAGATTTTTAATTTTTTTTTTTTTGTAAACGTTAAAATGTCTAACTTTAAAAAAAAAACATTTTTTCGGCCTCTGAAGGTAGGAAGTAACCTTAAGTTTAGCTACAAAAGTGTTTAGAATTGAAATATTCCCAGAAGAAATCCTAATCTCGCTTGGGTTGCCAGAACTATTGCTGGTGCGTCAAATATGAAAAATGCTTGCTCTAAACATCGTGCCAAGTCTTGTTTCATAGTAATGGCTGTCCTGAGTTGGACGAATTTTTTCTCTTTGTTTCATGTTTTTGTTATTTAGATCTCAAGATCCGTAAAAAATA